AAACGAGGTTCGTTGTCAACCCCTTGCTCTGTGATAACGCGACAGTGGTAGCGAGGATTTGAACGGTCGAGTTACAGACGTTCATTTTCTTTGTTTATTCTATCGTATTTAGAGTATAGGTTCGTTCGTGTTGATGTGGAAGGTAGTGTATCTTTACTAAGCTAGTTAGTGTGTTAGTGTATGAAGTCGACTGAAGTTATGAAATGTTCGAAGCATTCGCTTTCTGTTAAATTCACGGGTTCCATGGATCCAGCGTTGAACAGAATGACGAAGTACTCGCATCGAGTTTATGAATAAATCTCAGGGCAACGGGTTAATCTTGCATAGCTTGACACTCTGCCAAGTAAACACTCGTCAAAGCTCGTATGGAGTTTTCTTAATTGAGTAGAAACTGAAATGTCAAGGCTCTTCGTAATAATTGCTCTATCCTTATACCTCGTACGTCCAAGGAAGTTCGGTTCGTTAGAAGCATCACCCAGGAAACTAATGCTCGAGTTCGAGAAAGATGCCACCCGAACTGCTGAGTGATTAGCGATTAGCAAGATTACCGATCTTTGACAGAGGAAAAGCTGCAGGTGACTGCAGCTCGGAAAGAAGACGACAGGGTAATTAAGTCGATCAATCGTCGAAAGAGCAACATCGAGTTACCAATCGAACCGATAGCGGAGTCGCGTAATTGGATGCATCGCATCGAAACGAGCGCGAGTCTCGGCGTTGCACGGATGACAAGCCGAACGCTCGCGAAACCGCCTCGTCCTTGGAACAGATCCTAATCCGCGGCCTTCGGCGAGGCTCGCGCGCGCGAGTGCATCCGGAAAACCGATCCTATCGGCGCTCGATCGCTCGTCCTTCGGCCGCGGATCGAAAATTGCCGAAGAAAGCGCGATTTTCGTGCGGCGCATTCCGACGCGACGCGGATAATGAACGGGTTTTGCGTAACCACGCTCGCCGGAGGAAGAAGGACCGACCGACGGGCAGGACGAGCCTGACGAGAATCGTCGATCGTCATTACGCGGTTCTCTTATTCCCGTTGCGCGTGCGAGAGTTGTTCCTCGTCGCCTCTCGCCGCCTTGTTATCGTTATTAGTATCATTATTCCCCGGCGGATCGCGCTCTCGTAATCTCCCAGGAAGAATCTGCCATTCGCGGAATTCGAATGAAACTTTCGTTCCGCGAGAGAACACGATCGGTATCGAGCGAAGCGACGACGGGAGATCCTCGAGGATAGCCTTCGAACGTTCCGATCCACGATTTCACGCGCGGACCGTCGGTGGTCGGCTTCGATTTCCCGCGTTTACGATTTTCCAATGATTCCTGATCAAATTTAGGTTCGATTCTTCGCATTTCCGATTTACTAAAGATTCCCGATCGCCTTAGATTCTTCGCATTTCCTGAGC